ATAGCTTGGTGCCTTTTCTACTTTGCTCAGAGCTTCCAGGCGGAACTTCCATGGTCTGAATGCCCGAACAAATATTTCGATAACGGATCGTACATCACTGAGCCGGAGTGTGCAGTAAGTATAGTATACAGTTAGATTATTAAAGAAGGATATAAAAGCTTCATATGATGTCTTTGTTTCTTTTATTTTTTTCTGTTAAACTAAGGCGATGTCATCGATATTGTCTATTGTATCTTATTAAAACTCTTTTGTAGTGGGAATAAGAAAAAAGGACGAAGAATAAGTTGGATAAGATACAAGAAAGACGCTAATTTTTAATATTTAAGCAAAAAATAAAGTAGTACACTTTTAAGATTTCGTTTCGAAAATGTACAGTACTTTTGCAGAGACAGTTAATAAAGTTCAGACAACTCGCTTAAATAAAATCCTCTTTGGTGCCAGCGACGATAAAGCAACTTTTTATTTTTTTACTAAACAGCAAAAGATTTCTTTTAATGGCAAAAGATACGGGTGTTAATTAAAAAAGGAAACCAATTAACTCTACAAAATATGAAATCTATTTTCATAACTATTTATGTTATTCCATCTTTTTATTAACAAATTCTCTGATATAAAGATAAGCACATTGTTTACTAACCTTCTTAATATATGTCAAAATCAATATACGATAGTATTTGATATCTGCAGAGTAATTTTGCCCTCAACGTATACCTCTTAAGTATCAAGGGCTCTTAATCTCGACCTGCTAGGTTCCCGTGAAGCGAGTCTAAACTAGTTTCACTCGAATAATAAAACGGATCCCGAATCTATTTTATCGATATGTTTTAGGTCAAGCACTAAAAGGTATAGTAATCTTTTCTGTGTTAAATTTTTTGATTAGTTTTAGTAATATTTAAATTTTCTATGTTGATTCCTAAATGTGATTTTTAAAGTACACAAACATCTTTTTTCAAATAATCGTTCATTTTAAAATAATTAAAATAGATGAATGGATGTTTGTTTGATGATATCTCCAGAACGGCTGCATAGATCTAGTTGAAATTTGGCGCAGATGTAGAATATAATCTGGAAGAAAACATAGGTTACTAATTAAGTTTTCTTTTAATACCGCGCGGACAGAGTCGCGTCTTTTTTTTTATATCATAAGGTGGCAAACGAGCAAGCGACAACATGAAATCGCTGAAATAGCGAAGTGACCGTTGCCATAGACATACGCAATTGTATATGCGTTGCCTACCTTTAATCAACGGAGGAGAGGATGCACAGGAAGAAAATATCTTCCCTTCCATGCATCCTCTCATCCGAAAAGTCCACTTCCACTTCCCATTCTTTCCTTATAAAGAAAAGGATGGGAAGGGAAAGAGGACTAAATTAGGCCTCCGGGACGCACACTCATCAGACGAAACGCGGAATTGCTTCCACTTCACGCCTGTCTTCTGTGTGGTCGTGGTATTTCACCGGGCGAGCCGGGCCGATTCGTGCGAAGATGTTAAAGCGGGCTCTTAACATCTTCGCACGAATCGGCCCGCGGGCGCTTAACATCTTAAAGTCTGACAGCTAGTATTTAATAACTAATATTATTTAAATATTAGAAGGCTAATTAATAATACATATCTTTTTAAATACATTCATATCTTCATAAATATATGTTATATACTCTGTGTCCAATCCTGGATTATATACTCTGTGTCGTCCGAAATCCGTTTGAAGCACGTTCCATATTTGAACTGTACAAATATTGAGAAAAGCTAATGGAAACATACAATAAAATAATGAGATTGTATGGAGATAGGTACAAAAGTAGAGAGAGGAATAATGTATGGATGAATTAAATGAAAGATATGCGTAACAAGGGAGTGACTTTAGAGATGATGGAAATGTATGGAACAGTATACTATCAACCTTTTAAATGGAGAAAGGCAGGTGATGATGATGAGATATTTATAACAATTCTGGCAAACAAACCTACACTATTTTCTTATTTTCTCACCAATAGCCTGGTAAAGGGTACGGACATCTGAATGTAAGTAATACTTTCCTATTGTTAGCAAAGATGCTGCATTATTGTTCTGTTAACAATAAAAATGATGCCCTATTTATGGTTTCTATTGCTTTATGCTTATTTATCTAGCTTACTTATATATTAAAAAAGCAATGCTAGAAAAATAAATTTACTTTGCAATTATAATTATTTAATTTTTGATATTAAACGAGCGAGCGGCCACCTCAAATCGCTGAAATAGCGAAGTGACCGTTGCCCATAGACATAAGCAATTGCATATGCGTTGCCTATCTTTAATCGACGGAGGAGAGGATGCACAGAAAAAAAATATCTTCCCTTTCTATGCATCCTCTCATCCGGAAAGTCCACTTCCACTTCCCATCCTTTCCTTATAAAGAAAAGGTTGGGAAGGGAAAGATGACTAAATTAGGCCTTCATGACGCAAAAAGTAACACCAAAAATGTATTCCAAGCGTTTTAATATTTTCTCTTTTCCCAACGTAAATGTAAAGAGTGTTTTCGTGTGATTACGATAAATGCAAGCTAAGACGCGCTCGCTTTTATCGAACTGTAACTTTCTATTTTCTACTTATTCACATAATGGATGACATTTATCTGTAGCTATAGTGACAAGTTACATTGAATTTTTTCTTTATCTTTTTACTTTATAAGATTTAATGAAAATGTTACATTTTAAAATAGTTAGTGTATTTTGAAACTGTTAAAATCTTTTTCATTTGCGTTTTACTTTTCTATCATACCAATTTTATAATTGCAAATGTTTGTATAGAAGTTAGGATGGTTGGATGTATGTTTGTTAGAAGGTATCTCCGGAGCAGCTGCAGGGATCTTGCTGATGCATAGAAGTAGACCAAAGCTTAAAAAAACACATAATTAAGATTTTTTGTCACGAGCGAAAGCTAGCGTTTTTAAGATCCCAACCTTAGAGACTTTAGAGCACTCTACTGTAGTGTTATCAAAATCTATTTATCGATTTAGAAACGCATACGAGGTAACATGAAAATATTGCGTTTATTCGTAAAATATATATTAGAGAGAGTATAAACAAAATTATGTTGGAATATATAACAAAATATATAATTATATATAGTACACTTCTATTAATATTCTATTTATATATTATGCAGGCAAATAAAGTTTTCAGAACACAATATCGCGTGGGACGTAATTCAATTTCAGCGTAGGCGATGCTACAACATTGCTACGAACTGCGCTACGAAACTACGAAGCTTATGTACTACACTATTTATTATGTCTAGTGTTCTATTTTATTTATATACTAAGTGTCGCCCGTGACTCCGTCTGTACGGAATTAAAAAAAAAACTTAAATACTGGTCTATTCTTCCAGACTATGTTTTACATATATGCCAAATATCAGCGTGATCCATGCAGCCGAACTAAAGGTATCTTCAAACAAACTTTCATCCATCCATCCATCAATCCATTGAAACATTCGCATTTATAATATTAGTAAGATTTTGTTTCATTAAGCGTAGTTAAATTCATAAGACATTAAAATATGTTTTTTGTTTCATTCCGTCCATTATACCCATTTAATTATTCATCACGAAAAATGATAAATAAGTAGAAAGGAATTATTCATTCTCAATTTAATTCTCTGATCAAATAATATTCTGAATTGAGACATTTTTCATCTATTATATCTCATTGTTATTTGTGATTCAATTTATGTTTTGACACAAAAACTAAGCAGTAATTTTTTTCTCCGTTTATCCATTTTTTTGCATTTTAATATGTTGCTGGTTGAATTGTTAGCATACGTTTTTTTTTAATTCTTTTCTTAGCACTCCTGGTAGGATTCAAAATATAATACAATATTATCTTTTTACAAAACTTTATTACAAATGAGAATGTACGGATGGATGTATGAATTTTCGTACAGATTTAGGACAGTCTGGAAGAACATATACTACTTACTAAGTTAATACCGCGCAGACGGAGTCGCAGGCAACAGCTGGTTACATAATAAATGATGTTTAATAATTCATTAGTTCAGTATTGTACCACAATTAAATTTCTCTATAGACAGACATTTGTTGCGGTTGGTACGGGAACAGAATGTCGATCAATACATGACCTATTTCCAACATTGTATATACGTAGAGAATTAACTCTGATTCTGCGAATTTCTTACCGATATCGTAACGTCTTAATAAAAGATAAATAAATAAATAAAATAACATTTACACCTTTCAATATCACAACACAATAACAAAAAGAGCATAAAAATAATTATTATATAAAGAAATAACACATAAAACATAACATTAAAAAGAAACAGGAAATATTTACAAATATTGTTGCAATGCTGACCGGATAAGGTTTCACTCAGCTTTGTATGCTGGGTGTTCCTTTCTGGACCACTCAGCGCTGATCACATAGTAGACGCAATTGTCCGTACCCACTTAGCAAATTGTCTCTTCCAGTTACTTTTTATAGCAGCGATTAAGATAGTAGAAATCTATTTAGGAAAATCACCCGTGAACTTTTTTGATTTTGTAGTTCGTGCTTTTAACCTTATTGTTATTATGTGAATACATTTTCAGTGCTTTCTAAAATATACAGATTAAATTGTTACGTAACGAACAATGAGAATATAATCACAATCGTTGTTTCAGTAGGGACGTGGGCGACGCGTGGGATGTTTTATTTGGACCCCGATAGAGGCGTGGGTGTTCGCACACACTGTTATACATACAAATATCTTACTAATAAACGCGAAAGTTTGGATGGATGGATGATTAGAAGGTGTCTTCAAAACGCTTCAACGGATTTCAATAAAATTTGGCATAGATGTAGAACACAGTCTAGAAGAATACATGGATTACTTATTAAGGTTTTTTTTAATTTTAGCTAGTGGAGAACATGCTTAAAAACGCTCGTTGTTAAACAACATATTGTTATATTTAAGTATAACACTTTTAAAATTTCCATTTCTCCTAAAGTAATAAAGCTAAAATTATGTGAACCAAATAACAACGTATTTTATGAGCGAAAATATAATTCAATTTCCGATCACGACTCTGAACAGCGATCTTAATCAATATTCTAATTTAGAAACAGCTGACTGTGGGATGCGGGTTGCCGACCACATAATTAATGTTGCTTCGTAAATTATAGGGTAAATGAAATAGCAATTCTCTATTAAAGGTAACGTAATTTTTTCACACATTTAACGCTTACCAATACTATTATAATTTCCATCGTATAAGTTGAAAGAAAGTTCTTCTGAGAACATTTTTTAAGAGGTTTTCCAGATTTGTTTTTTTTTAATAAAATGTTTTGCGATAATCTAAGATTACTTTATAAATCTTGAAATAAATAAATGAATAATGTAATTTAATTATACATTTGTTAATTGAACAAACAATTTAAGTGTCCATCTTAAATTCCCTTATGAAGTAAAATACTTAATTATTTCCTTGTAAGGATTCATCTAAACTAAGTTTCTCTTATTTCTACTTACTTCGTTATTGTTGAAAATCGAGGAAACTTTCAATTCTTTAATTTATCTAAAAGACGTTTCTTATTTCTCAGCTGTAAGTCGCCTACTGCTGGGCATAGGCCTCCTCCAAAGATCGTCACGTTTACGTCACGAAAGAAGTTTTTAGCGTGCAATTTTCTTTCAGTGATAGATCGATGTTGCGTTCTTGTGAAACTATTTGTTATTACCCACTATATATCCTGTCTGTATCGCAATGTTAGCTGTAAGAGAACTCTTTTAGAGTTAAACTCACCTGTACATCATTGTATTTCTATGTAATGTTACACTATGTACTTTAAACTGTGTACAAAGATTAAAATAAAAATAAAATAAAGTATTTGTTATTTCATCACGGAACTATCTTTATTACTTTTCTCTGACCGGTATTTTTTTATCGGTTCTGTTTTGTTAGAGTTAATAAAACAATTGTTTATAAGTTTATGAGACATTATTTTAAAATAAAATAATATACACTTACCACTCAAGTTTAAATTTCTGTTGAAGGAACCGACTAGTTTCAGACCCGTTGGGGATCCATCTTTATTTATCTCATGGATCACATACAATAAAGTCAAATTATTTAAACATTAGCGACACATTTTTGTAACCTACCTTTGGAGATGGTGAGAGACGGGCTGCGTCCGCGATTAACCAGTCCCACCCTGACAAAGGGCCTTTGATGGGCCCCAAACTAATTGGTACCGACACCGGACAGCGTGAGGGTTATACAAATGTCACGTCTGTGGAATACTACGGTTAAACTTTCGTTCGGGGTCGTGACCTTTACGATCAATAAGGTTGTCACGCGTATCTAGACTTTAGTTGTGATGTATTTATTCTAGACTACTAATAGACTAGACTAGAATTAAAAAAAGTAATAAATAGCCTATGTCTCCTTCCAGACTATGTTCTATATCTATGCCAAATTTCAGCGAGATCCGTTGAGCCGTTCCGGAGATATCTTCAAACAAACATCCATCTAAACATTCATTCATTCATTTATAATATTAGTAAGATAGTATAGCTGATGGCAGAATTTTAGACCGATTTAAAAGAGTATGTCAAGAAATATGATGAAGTCAATTTAAACCCTCATTCTGACTCCATACCTTCTTTCAACGCTCAAAGTCGATGTTATGAAAGTCGGAAGTAATTTGCGCTTTGAGATTTTAGATTGCGTCACGTCTTGCGGAAAACTTTGCCATTGGAAATCTTTTAAAGGCATTCTCAGAAGAAAATTTCTCCCTTTTCATTTTCATCGATTAAAGGAAATTGATTTCTTTCAACCAATTTATTGCAATGTCAACGAGTACAACTTTTTAGTAATTTAAGTGGAAATTATGTGTGGTTTTGGAGTTCAATAACACAGTAATTAATTAACTTTTACACTGAGTCGTTATGTGTTCACTAAGGGATACATTTAGCATACAATAAGTCTACACTAAGCGAGTGTTTGAGTAGCTATTAAAAGATTGTTTACATAAGTATTGGTGATAGAAATACGGCATTATTTACGAATTTTATTAAAATTGGTTTAAGTATTTATTTTAAGATGGTAATTTAATTAAAAGTGTCAAGATGTGGTGACACGGCTACAATTAAGTTGGCAAGTTTAAGTGACTTTGATGAATTAAGTTAAATTTACTAAAGGAGTAATCTATCAGTCGTCTCGTTGCTAAAGGTCAATGAACCCTTATAATTTTTGTTTTCTAAATGTATTAAATGTATTAATCGTTTCTCGATGACGTAAAATCTTTTTAAACGTGTACCTTTATTGCGTACTTTTATACGAGATCGATTTTGTCAGGATTCTTTGACAAGAAAGCATTTTCCACTTAACATATAACAATCTATATATATAAAAGAAAGTCGTGTTAGTTACACTATTTATAACTCAAGAACGGCTTTACCGATATGGCTGAAAATTGGTGAGGAGGTAGCTTAGAGCCTGGAGACTGACATAGGATACTATTTATTCTTTTCGAATTTATGCCTTTAAGAGCTGCTTTTTATTTAATTTACTAATATTATAAATGCCACTGTTTAGATGGATGTAATGTGGATGGATGGATGGGTGTTTGAAGATATCTCTAGAACGGTTGAACGGATCTAGTCTGTAAGAAAACATAGACTGCACTAATTAAGTTTTTTTATATATCCACGCGGACGGAGTCGCGGGCGACAGCTAGTTTTTATATAAACTTACCTACTTAGGTAATCATTGGTTTTGATTTTAGCAATTTTAAAATACTTTATTCTATTCAAATTATAACGAACTCTGTGTTCCCTAATTTTAAATTCGATTTTAGCTTGACAAGTTTATTGAGACATTTAAAAGGATTTATGCGATTTTAAGTCAAAGTTTTATTCAAATAGACTCTGTTAAACTCAAGTTCTATGTAACCTGGCATCAAAGGGGACCTTTTAAGCCTTAAAAGGGATTACAAGCATGAAGTCTAAGCCCAGGTCGACGAAGCTTAATTTAGTATGTTTTCATATTACACTCGACTTCAGGTAAAGAGGATTTCAGACAGAAAATTCGTATATTAAGTTCTTTGGTTATATATAATCGTGAAAAAAGATAAACAAGCTTGTTTCTAATATTGTAAGCTCATGGTTTTCCTAATAAGACTTTAATAAGATTCAAACTTTATTTAAGCAGTCAGACTATAAATTCCTTGGAGAGAGGCGAGAAACGTTTCGAGTGGAAGTGAACGTTGTTAAATTCCTTAGTAACGAGATAAATTTATTGTCTGTCGTTGCGGAGGTTTATTAGTACTTAAATAAATATTTTACTGCCAACATTTTAAATATTTGAAACGGTACTAAAAGAATGGTAATATTAACACGTTAAAAAACTTTTTGCTGGAAATAGATGCGTAATGCCGAATCTTCAAAATATATCTATCTAGTTTAGGGTTCAATCAGAAACTGGCTTCCGCAGATATTATGAATAAACTTCATGAGATCACACGTGCGCTACGCGGCGCTTAAATGCACGCAGAGATCCAGTCACCGGTGACCGGAGTGGCGTTTAACGTGTTAACAAATATGTCAAGTTCGAAGTTAAGTAAATATGTTTCCTGAGGTTGGAAATAAAGGGTGATCATTTTTTTTTACTTTTTAGACCTATAGAGATATAAGGCTTCACCAATTAACAAAGCTTTTTCATTTGTTTCAGGCAAGCAGTCCAACACAATACTTCTGGTATCGAACAACTCTTCAGATCTCCGAAGACATCAACCATCCAATATCATTTAACTACAAAATCGCACTAGCTCTTGTTATCGCCTGGATCCTGGTCTATTTATGCATGATTAAAGGGATAGCTTCCTCTGGTAAAGTCGTGTACATCACTGCCACTTTCCCTTACATCGTTCTGGTCATCTTCTTCTTCAGAGGTATAACTTTGAAGGGTATGGGTGATGGACTGATACATCTCTTTACACCAAAGTGGCACACGATTCTAGACCCTGTTGTCTGGTTGGAAGCTGGCACTCAGATATTCTTTTCCCTTGGCTTAGCTTTTGGAGGTCTTATAGCCTTCTCGTCCTATAATCCAGTTGATAATAACTGTTATAGAGATGCAATTATGGTCTCTATGACTAACTGTTTAACGTCCATGTTCGCTGGTATCGTTGTTTTCTCCATCATTGGTTTTAAAGCGACGATGGTGTATGAGAAATGTTTGAGCTTAAGGAATGAAACTCTTCTGGAGACATTTGGATCTTCTTATCAGTCTATGGTGTTCCCGGAAGAAGGGCAGCCGGTAACGATTGGTATGAATGGTAATCTGACCACTATAATGATGCCACATTTACCTGAATGTGATCTGCAGAAGGAGTTGGATAATGTAAGTAATTTTTAATATGCTATGAGAGAGAGGGAGAGCAACAGAGAGAGAAAGAGAGAGCTCATTAAGAACATTGTATTACGTTATTCGAATTATAAAAATCTTTATATTTCTTTTTTCAGACGGCGTCGGGTACAGGCCTTGCTTTTATAATCTTCACGGAGGCTATCAACCAGTTCCCTGGGGCTCAGTTCTGGTCTGTGCTGTTCTTCCTGATGCTCTTCACCCTCGGAATCGACTCCCAATTCGGCACGCTAGAGGGCGTAGTCACATCTATCGTGGATATGAAACTGTTCCCCAACCTTCGAAAGGAGTACCTCACCGGTGGTCTATGCCTCATCTGCTGTTTATTATCTATGGCCTTCGCACATGGCGCTGGAAGCTACATATTCTTGCTATTTGATATGTACAGCGGCAACTTTCCTTTGCTCATCATCGCTTTCTTCGAGTGCATTGGTATCTCTTACGTCTATGGTGTTAAAAGGTAAATTTGACTGTATACAAATGACTATTTAACTTAAAAGACATAAAGCTTTTTTTTTTAAACAAAAATCGCATCGCAATACAACGGCTTTTACACTAATCTGTACTGTCGCTTCATAGACACGATCTGTAGAGAATGAACTTAACAAGATTCATGTTTTAAAACTTATTACACCCAAGATTTAAATATTAATCTAATAATACATCAAAAATTTAGGACTTAACTTACTTTTTAATTTATTTTAAATTTCGAAATACATTCCGACATTGCGTTTAACAGCCAAAAGATTTTTTATAACATATTCTCTCCTTTTTTTTAAAAGCGAGTGACAAGGATGATAACATGTTTTGACAGCTGTCATTCGGCAATGAAAAATCATTTTTTTTATTGTCAGATTTGCGGACGACATAGAACTGATGACTGGTCGTCGACCTGGCATCTACTGGTTAATCTGCTGGAAGTATTTATCCCCACTGGCGATGCTTTGTATCCTAATCTCATCATTTGCTGAGCTGGCGGTGGGTGGAGCAGGGTACGACGCCTGGATAGCATCGGAAGGAGATACAGAGAGGAAGTCGTGGCCTGTGTGGGCTGTGCTGTTGGTTATAGTGCTGGTGTTGGCTTCTGTGCTTTGGATCCCTGGATTAGCTATATGCAGGTGAGGGGATAGCTAACATAACAACTGTCAACATTTCAACGTTGTAGTCGAAGTTTACAATGATAAAAGATGAACGCATAATTTGTTTCTTTCTAGTATATTTAGCAGATAAATTTAAGAAGCTAAGCTAAGCTTTATAAACTCCAAAACCTATGCACAGACAATCTCATTATAATCAAAGCGTACTAAAAAAAATATCGAAAATAAAAAAAAACGCAACATATGTTATATAATTTCTTTTAGATACTTCGGCATTCCGATAATAGAGGATGAAGAAAGAGCGTGGTTCCCGGCGGATGACTTGCGTGACTTCCACGGCATCGAACCTCGACCCGTCTCAAACTTAGAGACGCTGCTATTCTGCACACGACCTGATGGTACTGAAGGCTGCTGCTGGCCCGGCTGCTGTGAAACTGATGACGAAGAGTAAAAAATATCTTAGTGTTACCATGTTAAGTTACACACTAGCGCCACCATCAAAGTTCTTGCTTTAATGAAAACATTTCTTTTCTTGATCTACGGAAACAGAATGACAATAATATTCATAAAAATTAAGATTTCTAATTATACACCAAAATAGTGAAAGAAGTCGAATTTTTAACTCAAATTATATTTAAGTAAAAGACTTATTAACACATCATTTTACCTTACATATTAAAAGCATATCAGTAAACTGTAGCATATCCTTTTTCTGAAAATTTTATATTTTTTTGGTCACACGAGTATATCTTAATAATAAAGGATTTTTATTTTTTATTTCTAAACTAACCTAAGATTTATATAAATTGCTTTTAACAAAATTCTGCTCTGAAGCAAATTATTGTTTTAAAGTAATTTTGATAGTATAAAATGTATTAACAGGTTACCTGTCTCTTAAACGGATAACCAAAATCAAGTCCTCCGTAATTTCTCGTACAATACCTCAGAAAAAAGTTTTTAATCTTTTTCTTATACAATTTATTATACCATTCCATTTTTAATATTTTACTGTTACCTGTTATCAAATGTTATTTATTTTATAAAATTTGGTAGGATCGTAAAGTAATAATTTTAAATTATTTCTAGTATTAAGATTGAAATTCAATCATAAACAAAAAATAATGACACAATTTCATTTTTAGGTGGCTTTGAGTTTTTGAGGCAAAGGTTTTTTAATAATTCAGCCACACGACACGACATTAAAAAAAAATAATGGAACTTATTAATTATTCCAATACTCTTTCTTATAATCTATTGACAGTTACAATAACGTAAGATTCGTGTGTATTTTTAATAATATTTAATCAAATATACATATATTAGGGAGTTAATTGGCAAGATATAATTTCAAATTGGCTTATGTAACTATAGACAATAATAAAATTATATTATATCTACTTGCTTTACAGTTATAAGATAAAGCATAAATATTATGCTTTGTTATACAAGAAAGCAATGAGATTAAATGTTGATGACAACAAAGAGGAAGAATATAGAGTGTATGGGTTTTGTGAAAGAGGATATGCGTAAGATAGTGAATTCTGATTTGACAACTAATAGATATGTACATCTCTATCAGTTGTCAAATCAGAATTCACTTTCATTCATTCAATTCAGTATGTAAGAGTAGGGAAAAGGGCAGTTTGATAATATTATGCCTTTTTTGCACAAAGACAATAATAAATACAATAAATATTTAAGCGTAATTTTGACAATAAATTTCTAGATGTTTTATTTTAAATGTCGCTTTATACAAGACCTTTTTAAGATATGTATACAATTAATATATATATTTCAAATGTAGGTATTTGTGACTGCAATCGTAGTGTATATATTTGTAATTTATTGATGTGATATCGTTGTTATCGTAGTTTAGTAAAATATTATATAAAAAAAACAAATTTACTTCTTGGCTGTTGCACATATTTACCTTTATAAAAAAAATATAAAATGACATTCCAATCAAAACGTTTGTTCGAATTGCCATTTAATATTATTATAAAAAAAAATTAATATTTTTTAAAAAGGAATTAATATTCTTTACAAAGTTGTCCAGTTGATCTCTTGATATCCACAGTTGATCTGACAGGGCGGGAAATGAAATGAAGGGCTCTTAACTTTTAAAAGAAATAAAAATTCGGAACCTCTGCTTTTCAGTGAAAATACCTTTATACGTGTGCATCGGCCCTTGTATATTAAATGTTATTATTCTATCAATAAGCTATATTTAAATTAATAATAAATTCCACTAACCTCTATAGTCCACTGGACAGGCTATAAGCCGTGGTATTTTGTGCCTATCTGATTTCCACCATTTTGCCGCTGACTGAAGCGCTTGGTAGCGTTGTTGCGGATTTGAATTGGAACTAATAATAGAGATAGAGTAATATTAACAGGCGCTTTAAAGTCCAAACAAATCAAAAGGTTTCATGTCCATATTATAGAGGTCAGTGACCTATACATATGTATGTAGCTAGATGTTTGCTGTTTCTATGTAACATATAATACCTATATACATGACACGGCTAAATAATAATCAAACTTATATAATTTATGTTTCTGATTTACTGAATTTTACGTATATTTTTGGTTGTTTTTTACTTTTTTTGTACTGATTCTAGTGTTTTTAGCTTCTTTTATATGCCACTTAAGTTAAAATTGTGCCTATCTTAAGGTTTTTTTAGATATAATTGTTATTTGAATTAAAATATAAGCCATTTGTATCGGTATTGCTAATTAATTTGTAGTAATATGGCACGCTATAACTGTTCATCATATAATGAAAGCTATGCGCACACAGAGTTTAGAAATTATTAATAATGTAGATACATCAATGTTCAATAACTTTTAATATAATAAGAAAATGTTTGCTGTTGTCAAATTCTAAATCTCAACTGATTTATAACAAAAGTCCTTGTTTGACGTAAAAGTTATCGCGCCATCTATTAATTAAAAATGTAAAAATACATAGTGATTTTAACAATGCACGCCAGAAATCTGTTTTGTTTCTAAAATTGTTTATATCAAGCATGTCAATTATTATAGTCAAATTTTATTACCAAATACATAGTTGCATATTTATTTTCGAATTTATCTTTTAAATATAAAAAAATAGTTTGGTCTGTACGAAAGATAAAGTTGCGTCCAAATCATGATAATTATTAGGTCAGTCAAGTTTGTACAAGAACTGTGCTTCACTGATAGAATTTTGTCTGTTATATTTGGAGCATTTAAAATAATGACGGGGTTACACTATGCCAGTAGCGCTGGCCTGGAATGGACTATGTGGGATCACTGGCGCCAGTTAGTGTTTACATTATGCCAGCGCTGATTTTGAGCGTTACTGTACTGACATGATTTACGATTGTCAGACTTACAATACTTTTTACTAAGCGCCACTAACTTTGCGTGACTACTAATTCTATGTGACATTGATGCACCAGTGGAACAGGTACTCAAAGAAGCAATCGCGCCAGTGGAAATTGGGTCTTAAGAGTTTTAAAACATGCATCGAACATAACCTCCAATTTTGTTTATTATTATAGAGCTATCTCGGTTGATTTCTTTAGCACTAGTCTATTTTAAATTCACTTTACAATAATTAAATTGTGTAGGTTAATTACATCCATGTTCTAACAAGACAATATTATAAATTAAGCACAAAAATATTATATTAATCAAATTGTATTTATAAGATTTGTTGTTCGTGTTACCTTGTATATTAACTAATTATTAAACGTGTTGATGGCAAATAAATGTTCAAAAATATTTTGTTTTTTTTTTCAACCGCCTTTATGGTTTTCAATTTCATTGTGACCTCCCAGAGTCCAAAGGTCAAGCGATTTTGACGATTGATGTGTCATTCGATTCGTATTCTTCCCCGGACTGTCATAAAAGTTACCAGCAAACAAGGGTTTGTGGGAAAAACTCAGGATAAAACGGATAAGATGCACTCAACAAAATTGAAAGTTATTTTGCTTGTGACAGAAGTTTCTTCTACCATTTATAGCAAAAAAAAAACCAATAAAACAAACAATATCTATGACAGTCTTTATTAAAGTAATTAAATATATGTAATTATATTCCCATAAACTTGTATGATCCAGTATGATACGCTGTTAAGTCATGTTCACACGAAGACACAACACTGAGGTCCGAGTAGGTCAGTTCATTACAGCTATTGTTTGCTTTGTTCAAACAATAGCAGTACTCCACTGTCCTACAGCACAATCTCTCTGCCTCAATGTGAAATAGGTGACAGTTTGTTTTGTCTAAAAATATACCTAGGCACAAAAAAAAACAAGGGATATGCTACAATTAACTCCACTTACATCGGGAGATTGGGGCAGATATATTTTTCAATGTAATTATAACTAAGTTTGGTGGGCAATTTTTTGAACTGTTCGGGTGAATACACACTAGAGCATTTTCTCTTATAATACAGGTGAAATCAAAGCTTCCGAAGGATCTGTGAAGGGATGATACACTAGTACATATCTGGCTCATTGTTTTAAGTAAATGTTCTAGTGTATACTCACCTTTATGCTGTCAATATCATTAGCACACTTATATACTTTGCCTAATTTTAGATTATTTCCTAATATTATAAGGAAGTTGATAAGTTTAATCATAAATTATATATTTAGTATGAAATTAGAGAAATACATACATGATACATATGTAGTCAAAAAAGTTATGGTTTAGTCTTAAATCTGAAAGTTTTTAAGGTATCTCCAGAATGACAACTGACCTTGTTAACATTCATCATAGATGTAGAATATAGTCTGGCAGAAGACATAGGCTACAAAGTTTTTAAATCTAATCTAGAAAGTGTAATAGTAAATAGCTGCTTATATTATGTTCAAATGAACTATGTAATTACCTAGTTTATATATAAAAAAAGCTAAATTTGAATACATGTATTCTATTTGCTAAAATTGTCAGAATTCATTCAATTTGACTTTGAATTATAAATTAATGTAATTTTTAAAATTCACTAGAAGCAGTAAATATCAATCAATCTGATGATTATTTTCTGTAGCCTCCTTGTTTTCCGCCTTCTTCAATTTCTTTGCACGAATATCAGCCATTGTTTGCTCAATAGAACGCGAGTCTTTTTTATTCTCACTCGGTACCTCTCCGTAAGTCTTATTCATGTTAGTTTTATGAGCAGCATCTAATGCTGCATCTTCACCTATCAGATGTGCATACTTCTGCTTATAAAATGTTCCGCTCAATTGTTCCTTTCCGTGCTTGCGCTTTCTATTTCTCTCCTCTTCAATATTTAAAGCAGCCTGCTTCTTCAGTTCAATGTGTTGTAAAGCCATCTCTGCCGCTTTATCCTCACTCCAAACTCCTCCAGAGCGTCTCACACTTAGCTCATCTTCCGATGGTCCACGTTCTTTTGTGTAAACTACAGAATAACGGTCTATGCCATCTTGTCCAAATGAAAATATCTGAAGACCAGCGGTCTCTGCCACATCTCGTATTATTGACCGATATGTTTGTTCCATTGGTTCGAATTGTAATGAAGGTTTGTTGCCATCTTTTATGAATTCCCCTATTTTTTCTTCGACTTGCTGTCTGAATTTCTTTAGTCTGTTCTTTTCATCTTTTTGCTTACGTTCCAATGCTTCTTTCTGTTTCTTAAGAGCACTTTTTTGTGCTTCGCTAGCTGTTGGTGGTTTTTGCATTGAATTCAAGATTGAATCTAACAGATCCATAATGCTATATTTTGTTTTCTGGACAAAATGCTGTATAAGAAATTATTTCTGTAACTCTTCTCTGCCAATAAATGGGAATTTTAAAGTTCTCTACCAGAGATTGTGTGTCAAGACCTTTCAATGCAAATATCTTTAAAGATGATTCTATAAATGAATGAAATTGGCTCCCGTATGTTATAGTATCGTCAATAAACTCTAGGAGTTGCTTTAGTGGTGGTTGAAGTGATGTCCCGTCTACCAGCAAACTGGATGCCAAAAAATTAATTTCCCTGCAATTTTCTTTTACAGTGTTGGCTTTTAAGCAAAGTCTTTCAAATGCCTCGTCAATAATTATTCTGGAACATATTACAGAAGTCACGTAACTTGAAGATGTTCACGATTAATTTTATTATGAAGAAATTTGATATCAATATATCATTGTTTAATATCTGACATAAATCCAGATTGTATTGTAATCCAAGATCTAATTCTTATTTATTAAGCTATTTATCAGGAACTTACCTTTGTTTTCGAATTTCACTAATTTCTATTGTGATAAGGTTAAGTAAGCGATTTAACAGCTTTGGGGGAACATCCGCGAAGTCTTCCAACGGTGTACGAACCAATTCCACTCTAAAATAGACATTTGTATATTAATTATATCTAGAAATAGTAAACGAATATAAAAAACAAAATAGTGTACTTACTTTTTAATATTATTACAACGCTGAGTTAGTTTATAAATAGTAAATGCGCACTTTTGGCAAGTTTTCAAACACCCTTTTGACGTATTGTTAAACTCTACAAAAGTTAAAAAGTAATCAACGATTTGTTTCTGCACTTTAGATTCCATTATACAGAGAAATAAGCATTTTCTTATATTCTTTCAATTGAAATGTGTTGAAATGAAAATCAAACGAAAATTATCTTGGTTTACTGTCAGCCGGTGCGCTCGCTTTGTTACATAGCCACAGATAATTTATTTATTCCTTTATCTGTTTTTATCTCCCTAATCGATATCGATTATTAATTAATGAGATATACAATAAACGCCAATTAAGTAAAAATGGTAACAATTGTTTTTCAAGCTAACCTATTTAAGCTATAAAATTATTTAACCTACTATTCGTTTAGAGTTTCTTATAAAAATTTGTACAAGTTTGACGTTACGGGTAAAATCGATTTAAAAATAGCAACACTGAAAGGAATAAAAAAAGAAGAAACCTTGGCAAAACCAAGTTAAAAAAATAGTCGTGATCCAAACTCGATTAGAGGAGTATGTGTATTTTCTTGTCTTAATTTTGATGAAATATTATACGTAATACGTTTGGAATTTTGTAGTAGTTACCATACATTGAATGTTATGTGAAAATGAACTTAATAGTGTAATTTTAAATTGAATTTTATGATAGGTGCGGTAATTGTGTTGTAGTGAAAATGAATGGTAAAATGCATAGTGAAACCGGCGCTTTCTCATCTGATGGCATGCGCGCCGAAATATTGAACCCTTTCGTTCATAAATTGGAACTAGATAACACATACGACAAAATAAAGGTAAGCTAGTTCGACTTATTATCTTGTTATTGAATTAATTATAATACAAGGTAATCGCTATGTATGTAAATAGATTAGGATACAAAAGTGTTTTCTGCGCAGACTCCGCGGTCAAGTAGTTTTAGAATGCATTTTCTCATGATAAAGTAAATAAAATACTGTCGTTTTGGCTAGCATGTTTTTATTACATTTTAAAAAAATATTTTTAACACGTAAAATGTTCATGGCTTAAAAAATTACTCGATAAACTTTATAATTATTTAATTTCTAGCGAAACATTTTATATTCAAAAACAAATAGATACCTTTTATATTTTAACATTAATTATGTTCCATTAAAACGGTTTTATGTATTCATTTCTCTTAGTTCATAAAAATCATCTTTAGATTTTTAGAATAGTTAAGTCTTAATATCGTAGAGGTCTATCAATAGTAGAGGGCAGACTTGCATAGATTCTGCAATTGATACTTTTTTTAATCGAATATTTAAATGGTAAGAAAGCCGTGTCAATTGTGTTAATGGCCAGTATTTGAATTCAAGGTCAAATCCCGAAAAGTTATACCAGTGAGGTATTTATGTAGCGATGTCGAGATAATGTTCAGGACTTCAATTTTCGACTAATTTTGTTGAAATTTCTTCAATTTTGTCACTAATTTCTTAATCTGGCAATACAAATTACGTCCGTAGCTGAAAGGGGTAGACAGACCTTGACTTGACTAAATCTTGTCTGACGTCACGGTGGGTAACGTGGACTAAAATCATTCCTCCAGCATGCACTATCAGATGAAACGCGGAATTGCTTCCACTTCACACCTGTCGGTATGGTCGTGGTATTTCACCGGTCGATCCGGCTCATTCGTGATTCCAACAAATATTGTTGTTGCGGGCTCTACTAGTGTACAATGAACAACCAACTTTATAACCATAATGTCTAGAGCTCAGTTAGAAAGTTATAAGTAACGGTCAATACTTGCAAGAGATTAAGGTCGAAAGTGATGCGTTATGTTAGAAATACTTGTTTTTTGCACTATTTGATTTATCACATGGGGGAAATGATGACTTTTTGTACGAATAGAAGAAAGTTACCATAGAATTTTAAACTATATTTTGTTTACGTTTAAATAAAGTTCGCTAAAGAGATTCATTAAGATAATTTTTAGGATAATACGAGTACATAGAAAAAGAAAGTACATCAAATTGTGTGCAGTACAGCAATAGAAGTGGGCATTGAGGGAAAGTTGTTTTTCCTACGACTCATTGCGATCCCCATGACACACGCGCAGAATCGGGTGACCATATCCTAGGCCCTTACAAGGACTGTCCGTTTATAAACTAAACCAACTGGAAAACTTGCTACTGTTAATTTTATCTGAGTTTAAATTGTAAGATGCCTAGTGTTACCATATTTCTGGTTGAATTAAATCCTGCTTAATTATATAATACAGTTTTCTTAGCATTAAAAGTTCGCCAGCGACTTCTTTCGCGCGGTATTAAAAAACTTAATTAGTGGCCAATGTCTTCTACCGGACTTTGTTCTACATATATGCCAGATTTCAGGGAAATTCATTTCGCTGTTGTAGAGACATCTACTAACAAACATCCATCTAAAGATTCGCATTTCATTATAGTAATTATAGATGTCGGGTTAAAGATCTTTATCTACTGATAAAAAACACAAAGTTTCGCTTACAATGAGTATAAATGTACAATATAACATAAGGGCTTGCGGGCTAATACATAATATAGTAACAATATCTAAGATTAATATAAATCAAAAACAGGCCTTAGTACAAACTATAAGAAGTAAAATGAACAGAAATTATATCTATATTTAATATTGAGAATAGATTTTTTTTAATAACAGTTTTACAAACGAGCAGCGGGAACACCGAGGTGTTCAACGACGCCCATGGACATTATGATTATGACATTACAGCGATGAGATAAGATTTAAGTTTGTTTTGAAAACTTTAACACATTCAATAAATTCCAACAGATGTCCGTAAATTAATGTGGTGACTGTACATGTTTGTCAACATATGCGCACTGCCAGCACTAATGATGTAACTGATCAGAGATGAAAGTTGATACGATAATTGTTTAGTTCCTGCTTACGTAAGTTAACGGCATCATAGTTATCAGCTAACTTCTATGTCTTTAGTACGGTAACTGGTTATGACCAGGGGTGTCGCTAAACTATGATCTAGGCTGCCTATGGGGGGCAGTTACCTATAATATGGTTTTATTCGAATTTGTTTTAATGTTTATTTTTTAATTCTCTAGAGGGGTGGAGGGGTTGCTACCCTCTACCCCCTCTGGCGATGCCCATAAACCATCGTTTGTATGAACATAGTGGTTAGGTTAGTAAAGCACCACCTTTATTCCATCATCATCTTTATCTACTTGTTAAGTACTGATTTTTTATGTTGCTTCTATTCGTTTTTAATTTTTAGTCCATAGGAGTAGTCCATAGTCTTGACTACATTATGTTTAAAAAAATAAATGGCTATGTCATCATCAGATCACTATACGTCCCCACCGAGGGGCTACCCTAAGTTAAGGGTGATTAGGCCATAGTCAACCACGCTGGCCAACTGTGGGTTGGTTGATATACATATCTTTGAATTTCTTTTCGGACATGTGCTGGTTGCATCACCTCCTTCCTTCACGTTTTCCTTCACCGTAAGAACGTCGGATAAATAGTTATTTACATTTGCTTATTTAGGATATTGACGATATTGCAATGAAAGTGTAATATATCTTAGAATTGGCTTTATTAAATTCCATATTGTAAGAGAAAGTTCACACATGTTTAAAATTTTTGAGCACAACTAGAGTTTACGGTCGCGTGACGTATTGTAGAGTTCATTGACCTCTCGCATGACAATTCGATGCTCTTTATTATTTCCGCAAACTGACAACCTTACATCATTTACCGTGGGTTTCTAAGACCAACATCGTTCTGTACAACATATCGTTATTCCTGTCATTATCGTTGATAAGGCAGAGATACAGGAATTTTGGTCTGGGAAACCAACGATAAATCGTATTCACAAATGATGAAAATTTCTTGTCATTTACTAATGTCTGATTTTAGTCAAGTAGATTTTAGGTTAGGAGTATTGATGACATTTTAGGAAGCATTTTATACAGGATGAGGGATAAGTGACGATTTTGATTGGAATAAAATTGATGATAAAAAGTTTATTGATTGACCGTTATTTATTAACACCAAAAACAAATAGCGTAGAAATGTAGAAACTTAAGAAAGACATCAGACGATAGAGTGAAAGACTAGACTACAAAATACGCAAGGGCGCAAAAAATGATCACATTCGTAATTCGCAAAAATATTTCCATAGTATTTACAGAACTTGTTTATTAGTCAGGAAATCAGCGACAATCAGTTACAGTTGAAAATAAGAAAAAAGTCGTCAAACATAAATTAACTTTTGAACTTTCAATTAAAGGTAATCATTGTTTTTAATCATGAGTTATATATCGTACAATTCGAATGCCGTTACACAAATTTTAACACAGCTGTCTCTGTTTTATCAACGATAATGAAAGAGATGACAATATTAGAGTCGCAGCAGTGGAACTCTACGGTTAAACTGCTTCGATCCGGATTACATTTACATCGCATGCCGCAGTTTTTTTTGCACTAATGAATATGATTAACGTAATTTTGGTCCGTCCGTGGACTTCTTTTGCGCCAACTTGTATGGTTACTTTCTAAAAGGTTTTGTGCTCAAGCATGCTCTGAATTTAGCTTCTGATTTTTCTTTTCTTTTAAACTCTGACTAGATATTTTAATAACTGCTAAAATATTTTCCAGAACGGCGGCTCTAGTCATGATCGTAAGCTATCGTTTTATCATAATTCTGAATTTATTATCATTAAGTAATGTTACAAGATAAGAACCTTTTTAAAATGTAAATTAAGCAAATATACTTAGTACTCGGATAATAGGCCTGACAAATGATAGATAGTGTGAGTTAACACAATGAACAAACAAATTTGTCGCCAATTTATGGGAATTCTTGATCTATCCTCTGAAAGAGAGTGCTGATTGAAATCATGGAAAGTTTGTGGAAGAAGCAATCCTGATATCCCAATCTCATATCAAGTGGGAAAAGACCCAATAAGATGGAATAATATAACGGATATGGAAATTACAGAAGAAATAGTATGTCTTAGAATGTAGGCCAATAGCTTACGTAAGCATTTATAGACAGGAACGCTAATTTTTAAGTAGGTACAGCTTACAATTGTTGTGTTGCTCATAAAATCTGCTAAATACTTGGCCAATTCTATATTACTGTAAACCTTCAATAAATTATGTATGAAGCAATAAAAGGGTGTGAGATTTTGAAGTTCATTATTCTTTTGGGGGCGGGTCAAGCGTTTCATAAATTTTATTGAGATGTTAATTTATAACTGTTCTACATATTTGACCTCCGTGAAGCTTCATTCATTGAAATATAAAAATTTCGTTTATAACTTTTTGCATATAGAGTTTGGTATATACAAAAATATTGAATGAAAGTGTTAAAAGTTTTAAATCAAGTGTATTAAAAGCTCTAATTTCATATTATGAAAGTAGATTTAGATTTATGTTTTGTCTCACTCAACTTAACACGTTAGCTGCTATGTCGGACTATATGTCCGACAAGCTAATGTTTCGATCAGGCCGTGTCGGACTGTGTCCGACAAGCCATACTTCCATTCATGTGTAAATATATAGGTATCACTATATTTTTAGGTGTTTTCAAATGGTTTTGGACAAAATTAAAAAAAATAAAATTCCTTTTTCGAAAAATCATTCTTGCAGCTAACGTGTTAAGGATTACAGCGTCCCTGTCTCTGTAGCAATCTAGTATTCTCTCCTGTGCTCTTGACTTCTTAATACGACTTTACGACGATTTCCTGTTTTAATTGCGTTCAATAATCTAAACTAACCTTTGTAACGGTTGTTTTGCAGATTTGCAATTGGTAACTTTGGACTACCTAAATATATCTACCTCAAACACCTATATTATTTTATACAAATTGTGTTTTTCTTTTAAACAAGCTTAATAATGTTCCTCTCCTTGTTCCAGACGGCGATATTCACCGTGATCTTGCTGCCGTTCAGGGTAATTGTGATTTTATACCTGATCGTAACGGCCTGGTTCCTCGCATGCATCGGACTGTATGGCCTCAGCGAGGAAGACCTGAGGAAGAAACCCATGACAGGATGGAGAAGGTGAGGAATTATCTTCTTTTGTATACCTCCTTCATAACTGGCAAAATAACATCTGCGATTAAAAAAAAACAAAAAAAGTAAACAAGTCCCAAAAGAATAACCTATTTATTACACGTGAATAATATGATTTAATTTCATTGAAATAATTAAAACTTAACGAAGTATAAAAATCAAGTCAACTATTTATTCATTAATATTATAATAAATTGTGTACGAAGGTCTCTTTTTTTTGCATTTTTAAATCAATTTTCAATTTGACCCATAATTCGTTACGGAGCAAAACCATCTTTTTTTCTCGTCTCGTTGATTTAGTTGCATCAGCGTTTCAAGGTTATTTTAAAATTAGTAAATGCATTTTTAATATCAACTATCACCTTGAATGAAGCCAATTTATATAGCCAAATTAGGGAACATTATATTGAGAAATCGGAAACATTATGTCAAATGGTGATAAAGGCATGACCATATTCCTCCTCTTAGTTCTCCTTCGAGCAGGGGGATTAGACAAAGAGCATTCGCTTCGAAACGATTCCATAGTGAACTTCAAAATTTTATGGAACTGACGCGCGACAATCACGTGACTTATGGAAAGTTATTGTCAGTTCTATATATGTTTGAAGTTCACTATGGAATCGTCTCGAAGCGAATGCATTTTGGCTCTAACTCTTCAGAATCCTAAAATTGTGTCATGAGGACATGATAAGCTCGTGACATAAATCACAACTTATCACCTCCTGTCACTGTAAGCTTTCTTTAAAATGTATCCTTAAATTTGTGACTTCATATTTAGCGGACCGGTTTTAGCGTTGTCCTAAATATCCAGTCTCTCGGAAGTCTAGAAATTGGCTCAAGGTTGTACCTGACAATATTCAAACGCAGCGTGAAGGTTTTACTGTTTACAAATACGTGTCTAATGTTGGTCTTTGTTATTTTTAAACGAACCGGATGTTGTTAAAGATTGTTGTTGACATATTTTTGTTTTTTTCTTTATTCAAATTGTAGTTCTGAATCTTTGTACGTTCATTTTACTAATTTAAGAGACTACTGTAGTTTAGTTCTGTCTTCAATAATTTTTCCCATAATGGTATCTTCATTGTGTGAGGACATTACTTTAACGATGTTACCTGTCACATTTGACCTTGATGCTGCTACATGAAGGTCAGGTTTACATTCATAACATATTAGATACCTTAATGCTTGTGAATAAGGTCGATTTTTAGTTGTCTAGACACATCAGGGTTTTCGCTTGGACAATTTCGAAATGATAGTGCTCGATGCATTTTAATATTGCAAGTCGAAAGTTTGTTTACATTTGTATGGATGTCGGCATTGTTGTTCGCTGTACACGGATCGTTTGCTGCCGCTAAAAATGCTGCAATAGCGAAACCAACTGCTTGAGACTTCTACGAACTGTTTCAGTCTGTCCGTATATGGAAACCCTTATAAAACAAAACGCAGTGAAATTTATACTAGGGCTTCGTTGTAAAAGTAACCGATACTTAATGACGTCATCACTAGGAGATACAATAGTGGCACAATCAACTACCGTTACAGCAAAACGTTCATTAATTTGCTCTGTTGAAACGATCAATCACACTTTTAATTCATTTTTTACTACGTCTAAGAACCGTATTTAAAAGCTATCAAACTGTATACGCGAAATTGTTATTTAATCCAAAGTAATTTAAAATAATTGATTCTTTGTGCTTTATGTTTTGTGAAAGATATCGTTTTTAATTTTCTTAAAGTAATCTAGAAAATAAGAGCGTCGGTGGCCCAGGAGTCAAGCACTAGACTTGCAATATGCAGTTCCCGAGTTCGAATCCCGCCATGTTCCATGTGTTTTTCTATTTACATATGTACATTTATCCGACGTTCTTACGGTGAAGGAAAACATCGAGATGCAACTTGTACATATGTGAGATGAAATTCAAAGATATCTGTGAAGTTAACCAATCCGCACTTTTCCAGCGTAGTTGACGATGGTCCAGTCACCCCTAACTTAGGTTTAGGCTCTGAGCCCTTCAGGCTAGTCTCCATATAGTGATATCTTGTCATCTTCATCATCATCTAATCTTGACAATAATTGGGATCAACTATTTTTATTTAATTAATAAAAACGTGTGTAATTATACATTCGCTTCTTGTTTGTTCGTGTTTTGCCAAAGATTACAAAGTGACCATGAAATATACCTTACAAACTAGTTCCCAGCGTCGTTGTTTACATTTACACATGATTATTTATCATTTTATATGCTTTTAATAACTAGAAAATGTTTCATTTCGTAATTTTAAAGATAATATATGCTTACTAATGTCGTGTGTACATTTTATAGAAAAAAACAATAATGCAAAAAATACGTAATTTACAATTTTTTTGTTTCTATTTTACCTATACTATGAAGTTATTTCAAATCAAATTTTGTCAGACATACATATGTACATGATTTGTTTTGTTCGATTAAAACACGATGATATTTACTATTACATAAAATTAATGTCTCCTCGTCCTATCGGAGTTAGAAAGCAAACGATTGTGAAAGTGCTTGGTGACCATTCTTCCGCATTTGCAGCACTGTCTCCGTGATTAGAATTGTTAGTTTTTTTAAACCACTTAAATATTTCAAGGTCTTGAAGGAGGAAACTTTTTTGTCGAAATTTTATATTGGAGTATTTTGGTATTGTGTATTTAAGGAAAATTGGACTTTAAAAACTTTACTAATTGACTCCGATTTATTTCACTGACTTCGTACAAAAGATTCTCTGTTGTTTACTGGTGTAGTCTATTAAAAGGAAATTCACCGTTCAATCGCGACATCATAACGAAATAAAAACAAAAAAAACAATTCTTCATGGCGATGTCTTACATTGATTCTAATTTTAAAGTTACCAAAGATAAGTTAGAGTTTCGTCTTCATCCATGATTTTCATTCACAAAAAACAGCCCTCATTTGATAACGTAAGTAAGGCAACTAACAGACAATATATTCTAGCAAGCTGCGCTTCTATATCCTGTCTCTGATGCGGCTGGTGGTGGTCGCGGCGGGCTTCCACCGGGTGCGCGTGGTGGGTCGCGACCGGGCGGCGGACAGCCCTCGAGATGCACCAGTCATCGTCATCGCCCCCCATTCTTCCTTCTTCGACGCCATTGCGATCGTCTGTCTGGGCGCGCCGAGCGTCGTCGCCAAAGCTGATACTGCAAGACTGCCCTTTATCGGACGTAGGTTTTTAAGTCGTTTACATGGTGCGTGATTCTAGACACGGACCACAACAGACCACTAGAGAAGTCACTAACTGACTCTGGTTTCTTTGTGTATCGTCCGTGTCCGTCTACTTTGCAGAATTATGCACTGTGAAAACGCACCTTTACGTAAGCATTTGTCTAGGATTGCAGAGCCTTGATAATATAGGCATAATAGCTTTTTTCGTGTTTTAATGAGTAGGCGGATTTTTACATCCCATCTTTTTTACGACTACGTACGTGTAAAAAATTTATAACAAAAATTGACTAGTGATTGTGCGATAAATTGACTTTGTTTCTCGTTCCTTTTTTCTGCACTTTTCTTGCAGATACTCTAGCGTTTGTACGTCACTATACAAATCTCCAAGTTGAACGCACCGTTAGCGTACGATGGCATAGCGTTGATCTGTGGCAAGCTTTGACAAGGCGTAGCTTTAGTGGTCGGGTTAAGAGCTCTTTTGTCGTACATTTGTATATCGTATGTCGTACGCACTCGAATACCGTTGCCTCATAGTGCCTGTGTTCTCAACATACGTGACCTCTTCGCTATAGTAAATATGAAGAATTATGTAAAACGATGGTTTCCAAGACGAAAAAGTTAGAAAATACGTGGACTTATAAAACGTACAGGAACTGTAAGCGACGAATTTGACTGTGAAGAGAATTGGGTGCCTATATAGATTTTTTTTTAAATCTGCTAAACTTACGTCTATAAAAAGACGTTCTTGGAAAATGTCTTCTCGAGTTTACTAATAGAAATATTATCAAGGCTTTGTTACTCCAATATTAAAGTCATCAAATGCTTACGTTCATTGGATTGTTTGTTAGTTGGTGTGTAGTAGTTAGACGTGTACACTCATCTACAGAAAGTAGCTGAGCTTTATTAAAGCTTTGCCTTTTGTAAGCGACTGTACACAGCGGTACTTCATCCGTTACGTAAACAAACTTATTGACGCTAGAAATATTGCTAAACGATTGGTTTAATTAGAATTTAGAATTTTATTTATCGTTTTATTTAGAAATCATGGAATTGTTAAAAATAAAATTAAAAAGTGGTAATTTTTAAAAATTTTCAAATGTAAAATTAATTTAATTTCCGAATTTAAATTAAATTTTATTGTAAATTAATAAATCATTTGAAAATTATTTTAACAATTTATTTTAAACTCACCAGAGTGAAATGAGGAATTAATTTCAAAACAATTTTTTAACAGCTTGAGCTAGATTTATAGTGTGTTTCCACTCTGAAAACAGATGTATAATACATATTGTTTGTCATACATCTTTGTCTTTTTCAAAGTGTACGATAGGGATGACAATATGTTTTTGTATCAATGGAAACTCACTTTATGAAGTACCGCTGTCTCATAGTATTTTGCATTTTGTTTTGCACGTTTCATTCACATATTTCGTTGTTTTATTCGCAATTGTTTTGTCCATTTTCGTGTTTCGTAAGCTTATTAGGTACCTTTTGTTTTGGCGTTTAGTTGTTTTTGTTTTACAGTTTTGTTTTGTTTCGTTGATGTTTTGTTTTAGTCAATGTTATGTCGAATTTCGATGTCACGCTTATTTGCATGTTTAAAAGGAACAATTAGAAATTCTTAATGCAGTCTCGCCGACATTTACCGTGGGTTTCTAAGACCACAATATGTATAAAGCATATCGTCATATGTCGATATGTTTTAAACGTACGTTCAAAAATAGATGGGGCAAAGTCGCGAGGATAGAGGTCGCCGCACCTGCTCTTTGTATATTTTAATCAATAAAATTGCTATTTATGTTACATTCTACTCACACCCATAATAATGTCATTTCACACGGCATAATATTTATGATCATACTAGCAGTCGCCCGCGGATCCATCTGTGTGGAATAAAAAAAAATCTATACTTCCAGACTATATATATAATTATACATCTATAATCAGAGAGATTTATCTTTTAACAAACATCCATACATCCAAACATTCGTATTTATATTATTAGTAAGATATAAATAATGATCGCTTTAGGTGATTACTATAAATATTTATTACAGTATTGTTCATATTTATAGGCAGTTTTATTACGTCTTATGTTACAACGATTATTGAAGACTTAGACAGTCAGGGGAAAATTTTTAAATTTGTAGGGTATCTCTTAAAGGCGAAGTAATATTTCATTAGTGGATGAATTGTGGTGAAGACAACAGTTTAACAGTGGTAGAGCCCGCTTTAACATCTTCGCGCGAATCGGCCCGGCTCGCCCGGTGAAATACCACGACCACACAGAAGACAGGCGTGAAGTGGAAGCAATTCCACGTTTCGTCTGATGAGTGTGCGTCCCGGAGGCCAAAATTAGTCCTCTTTCCCTTCCCGTCATATTTCTTATAAGGAAAGGATGGGAAGTGGAAGAGGACTTTCCGGATGAGAGGATGGATGGAAAGGGAAAATATTTTCTTTCTGTGTATCCTCTCCTCCATCGATTAAAGGTAGGCAACGCATATGCAATTGCGTATGTCTATGGGCAACGGTCACTTCGCTATTTCTGCGATTTCAGGTGGCCGCTCGCTCGTTTGCCAGCTTGTGATATAAAAAAAAAGACATTGCGTATAGTTGAACCGATAAATGTTGGAGGAAAGAAACCTTTTATAACACGATGACCTATAACATAAGACGATCGGAATCTGTGTAAATAAAAATCAATATTGAACGTATATCGTATACTGTTTGGAATAAGAAACAATTTTTCGTATAAGTGTTATTGTGCAGGACTGTACTTAATTGTGCAATTTGTGTTTATCTTTTTAACATAAAATCACAATGAAAATTAAAGACTTACTTACTTCTTACTAATATTATAAATGCGAATGTTAAGATGGATGTTTGTTAGAAGTTGTTCAGAAAGGTTCAATGGATCTGGATGAAAATTGGCATACGTATAGAACATAGTCTGGTAGAACACACAGGCTACTTACTAAAAAAATTAATCGGACGGAGTCGTGGGCGGCAACTTGTAGTGTATAAAAAAATGTAAATCAATCATTTCTTTGCTACAAGCTGTGTAAAAAATGGTGCATTGAATTCTTTCTTAATTTATATTAGATGCGTAATTGAATCTAGACCAAAAGGAAGTCGATAGAGAGAAGCTAGTCTGATTAGCGAACCCGTTATGAGGAATTGGACTAAGTTTTTAATTTACCTTTTTTATTTTATTTTATGTAATTACAATTATCACTATTTTTATATTATATATAAATAATTTATTAAACTTACAAACAATTATTATTATTTCTAGGATACATGAAGATGAGAAGGTTTTTATTTCTTAACTTTTAAATTATTTGACAGATCTCTACTTTTTGTTTATTTAATTTTGTAAAATTGTACAATATATGAAATAGTAAATAATTACATAAGGTGAATTATACTGAAAAACATATGTAAAATTTCCAAAAGATTCAATTGACGAAATACTTTTATTTCTTCTTTTCACATAGTGCAGTAAGCAATTCCGCGTTTCGTCTGATGAGTGTGCGTCCCGGAGGCCTAATTTAGTCCTCTTTCCCTTCCCATCCTTTTCTTTATAAGGAAAGGATGGGAAGTGCAAGTAGTCTTTACGGATGAGAGGATGCATGGAAAGGGAAGATATTTTCTTTCTGTGCATTCTCTCCTCCGTCGATTAAAGGTAGGCAGCGCATATGCAATTGCGTACGTCTATGGGCAGCAGTCACTTCGCTATTTCAGCGATTTCAGGTGGCTGCTCGCTCGTTTGCGACCTTTTGATATAAAAAAAATAGTGAATACGAGGGAATTGGAGCAATGTTTCTATACAAATGTTTCAACAATGAAAACCATGAGATTCATTCCATTCAGAGTGCATAAAATGTTCATCAAAGTTATTAAGGTTTTCGGAATTAAGCGAATTCTGAGAATCTTTAATTCCAATTCGAAAACGAATGCTGATGAATGCTGAAAATGAAAGTTGTGGCAAAAGGCTCTGAGAGATATTAAATTTCATGGAAATTTGAAACTTTTTCTCATATATATGTGTGATTGATCTATTTTATTATATTTATAAATAGCTATCGCCTGCGACACTGTCCGCGTGGATATAAAAAAAAAATAATTAGTGTAGCCCACCAATTCTCTCTCTTCAAGGCATAAATACGAAAAAAAATGAATAAATAGTATCCTATGTCCGTCTCCTGGCTCTAAGCTACCTCCTCACCAATTTTCAGCCATATTGGTAAAGCTGATCTTGAGTTATAAATAGTGTAACTAACACAACTTTCTTTTATATATAGATTCACACGTTTAAAAAGAATCATAATAACAAACTCTACAAATTTTCTTTAAGTATGTTAACAATGTAATGTGATAAATAAACTTGTAAAAAGTACACTGAAATGTAAAATAATGGTTTCATATTATATTACATGAATTCTCTTTACATTCAAAATATCAGAGATCGGGCGGTTCACCTTCAAATCATTTATTCAAGCTGTCTGACTTCTGACTTCTTTGGAAGTTACTACTCAAGATTATCAGTGAATCTGACATAACGATCATAGTAATTGCCTGTCAGGTTGCTTTTAAAACTTCCGTTGTAAAAGATTTTACAATCTTTTGACTTTACTTCTGACAAATAAATTATTAAAATAGTCTTTATCGAAAATTGAAACTTTGATAGATCTATAGCTGATAACTATGTAGGTACATACTCAAATGTTATTTTCAATTTAGTGATTGGACGTCCAGTTTGATTGAGGAAATTGTAACATTTCTTCGTAAGTTTTGTCTTACCGAACACATCAGTTATTTCGCTTTGATATGTTACTTTTACAGTGAAAATTACACTTGTACGTAAAGAAACTTGAGTTATCTAAAAATAGCTTTCTAATGATCGCTTTGAATATCTCAATAATAGTTTTGCTGCGTCATTTATTATGAGTATTTATGTACAGTCAGCTGAATAAATATCTGTACTACAAAGCTTTAG